GCGGGTCCGGGCTGGGGATTCGAACCCGCCACCTTAGGTGTACGTGGCTGGCGCCTTAGCCGGTTGAGCTATAGGCGCCGAGCCTGCAGCCATCATTGTTGTTTGGCGGGTCCAGGCTGGATTTGAACCCGCCACCTTGGGAGTACGTGGCTGGCGCCTTAGCCACTTGAGCCACAGGCACCGAGCCTTATTTGAAACTTTCATTGAATAAAAAGCTATAAAGCAAAAGACACATGCCATCTCTTTGAAGTGTCCTGAGATGCCTGAACCAAATACTAGTATTAACTGCTTACTCTCACATTTTGAACAAGATACTGTGGTTTGTGACCCCTTTTTAACAATGAAAATACATATCAGCATTAGGGAGGCTGAGAACCACTGTGCTAAAGAAAAAAGAAATTGTTTTGAGGCATAGTTTCATGCTGTTGCCCAGGTCAAAGTGCCACAGCATCAGCCTAATTCACAACAACCTCAAACTCCTAGGTTGAAGTATTCCTTCTGCCTCAGCCACCCAAGTCACTGGCACTACAGGCAACCACCACACTGCCTAGCTATTGTTTTTTATTTTTAGTAGCGAAAGGAACTCACTCTTGTTCAGGCTTGTCTTATACTCCTGAACTCAAATGATCATCCCACCTCATCCTCCAAGAGTGCTAGGACTGTAGATGTAAGCCACTAAGCCTGCTTAATGATAAAAAATTCTTTTATTTTAAGACAGAGCCTCTGGTTTATCTTAACAAGGGTGCAAGTGAATCTTTCTAAAAGCAGAGTATGAACATTTTAACTCAATAACTAAGAAAATGACATGAAGGTTATGTTAACCAGTTTGATGAGAGTATTTCAAAATGTATATGAAAACAGCACATTGTCCCCCATGATTGCATTAATGTACACAGTTATGCTATAAGAAATAAAAGAAAGAAAGAAAAAAAAAAAGACAGAACCTCAAATTATAGTCCTCGGTTGAGTGGCTCGGCATCACAGCTCACAGCAACCTCCAATTCCTGGGCTTAAAGGATTCTCTTGCCTCCGCCTCCCAAGTAGCTGGGACTACAGGTGCCCGCCACAATGCCTGACTATTTTTTGGTTGCAGTGGCCACTGTTATTTGGCAGGCCCAGGATGGATTTGAACCTGCCTGCTCTGGTATATATGGTTGGTTCCTTAGCCACTTGAGCTATAGGCACCGAGCTTAAAGAAAATTTTTTAAAAGTGTTTCAGAGATCCTCAAAAATACAAAAATATTTTTATGTGCTGAAAATCAATCAAACAGCAGTCAGATTTTGCAGTTCTGGATAAGCCATAGAAAGTTCGTTCTTCTAACTGTAAACTAGAAAGAACATCACTGAAAACTAAACTCCTTATAAAAATTAAAAGGAAAAGGCCAGGCAACTATAGTCTTAGCACTCTGGAAGGGCAAGGCAGGTGGATTGCTTGAGCTCAACCAGTAGGAGTCCAGTCTGAGCAACAGCAAGACTACATCTCTTAAAAAGAAAAACTAGCTGGTCATTGTGGCAGGCATTGTAGTCCCAGCTACTTGGGAGGCTGAAGCAAGAGGATTCCTTGAATCCAAAAGTTTGAGGTTGCTATGAGCTATAATACCACGGAACTCTACCCAGGGTGACAATGTAAGACAAATTTCAAAAAAATTAAAAAGAAGAATAGGGCCAGGTATGGTGGCTCACACATGTAAACCTAGCAGCTGAGAGGCCAAGGTGAGAGGATTGCTTGAGTTTGTAAGTTTGAGATAAGCCTGACCAAGAGCAAGACTCTGATTCTACTAAAAACAGTAAAAATATTAAAAATATTAGCCAGGCCTTGTGGAGAAACCTGTGCTCAAAGTTACTTGGAAGCTGAGACCGAAAAATCACTTGAAACAAGACGGTTAAGATTGCTCTGTGCTACGCTGATGCCATGGCACACTGGTCTGATGGGCAATGCAATGAGACTTTGTCTCAATGAGAAAATAAACATAAGAAATGAATACAAGAACAGAGGTGCCTTTATGTAACAACAAGAGAAAGAAACTCAGGCTTCCCAGAAGTCATTTCCAATTAAGCTGAGCTTCCCTAATCACCTTGCATTGTTTGGTTTCCTCCTTCAACTTGGGACCTGACCAGTGTTATCTGCTTCATTCACTCCAACCTACCTTGGCGCTTGACCACTGCCTGGTGAGTCTTCACCTTCCAGGGTTCTTTCCTTTGCTCCAGACAGGTGATGAGGTCTGGCTTAGAGACAGCAAGCCCTGTTTCATTAGGAAAAAAAGATAACATGATGCTCGTTGGGCTTCACCAGTTAACAATCTAGTACCTTCGAAGAGTAGAGAACACAACATTTGAGAGATCCTAAAAGAATAATCTAAAATTAGAGGTTTCGGACAGAAACCTTAGAATATTGTAAAAGCATTTAAAATGCTCCTCCCCCACCCAGTACTATGGAAATAAAATTTGGGGCTAGAAACTAGACTTAAAGGTATGGGCAACAATTCTAAGCCTCTACATTTTTGAAATTACCATCATTGTAAGGGAGGATATTTATTAGCTCAAGAAAAGCTAAGATTAATGACAAGATAACATCTGAAAATTTCTTTTCTGAAAAACTTTTGTTTTCCTTAGAAACAACTATCTGAAAATAATGCAGTCAAAGAAGAATCTATACACAACCCAACTACAAGGAAACAACATGAAATGCTTAGTGTATAGTAGGAACTGTGTATTGAAGTTATCCTCGGCTAGGCGCCTATGGCTCAAGTGGCTAAGGCACCAGCCACATACACCTAAGGTTGCAGGTTCGCATTGAGCCCGGCCAGCCAAACAACAATGACAGCTGCAACCAAAAAATAGCTGGCATTGTGGTGGGAGCCTGTAGTCCCAGCTACTTGGGAGGCTGAGGCAAGAGACTCGCTTGAGCCCAGGAGTTGGAGGTTGCTGTGAGCTGTGATGCCACAGCACTCTACCCAGGGGGACAGCTTGAGGCTCCGTCTCAAAAAAAAAAAAAAAGTTATCCTCACCTAGGAAGACCAGGTGTCTGTAGGTCTCTAACATGACATCCCGATACAAATTCTGCTGAGCAGGGTCCAGGCAGGCCCACTCATCCATAGAGAATTCTATAGACACATCTCTGAATGTCAACAGTGCCTGAAAAAAAAAATGAAAAACTAAAAAGCACTATTTATCATGATGCTATGGAAAGATTTAATTTCATTTTTGTATAAATGAGTGGGTGAGAACTTCTTTTGACTTACATGACTGAATAGTATTATGTACAGCAGGGAGATGTTCCCTCATGTGCGCTCTAACACTGAGGAAAGAGGATGGGATAACACCCACAATCCCAGTGTAGAAACTGTGCTTTTTGCTGTTATGATGCAAAAATGAGGCCACCAATACGAGCATGTGGATTCTTGCGCCTACTTACATTATACACTATAAGCTGTGCGTATTTCTTACGTGAAAATATCCTGGTGAGCTAAGTGGAAGCCTTAAGAGTTTACTGTGTACAAGCATGAACTGGAGATCTTGTCAAATGCAGTTTTTTGTGGGGTTTTTTTTTTTTTTTTGAGACATAGTTTCACTGTGTCGCCCTCAGTAGAGCACAATGGCATCACAACTCCCAGCAACCTCCACCTTCTGGGCTTCAGTGATTCTCTTGCCTCAGCATCCCAAGTAGCTGGGACTCCAGACGCCCACCACAACACCTGGCTATTTTCTCCTTGCAGTTGTCATTGTTGTTTAGCTGGCCTGGTAGGGCTCAAACATGCCAGCTTTTGTGGATGTAGCTGGCAAGTAACCACTGTGCTACAGGATCTAAGCCTCAAACGCAGTTTTTTATTTAGGAGAAAATGAGTGAAGCTTCATTTTTGAATTTCTAATAAGCTCAACAGGGATGACAATATTTCTGTCCCATGATAAATAATATTTTATCACATGTTAGACTGGATTTTCCAAGTTGAAGGTGACCCAGTAAACAACCATTAGAGCCTTTATTTTCCAAACAAGGTATAAAAAGAGAATCTCAGAAGGTGCCTATGAGTTGATACTCTCCCAAAAGTACACGATCATATTCTGATAAAAAAAAAAAACAGTTAAAAAAAATTTTTTTTCAAAGTTGAAACTATAGGCTTGGCGTTTGAAGCTCAGTGGCAAGGGTGCCAGCCACATACACTGGTGGGTTCAAATCCAGCCTGGGCCTGCTAAATACTAATGACAACTACAACCAAAAAATAGCCAGGCATTGTGGCAGGAGCCTGCAGTCTCAGCTACTTGGGAGGATGAGGCAAGAGAATCGCTTAACCCCAAGAGTTGGAAGTTGCTCTGAGCTGTGACACCAAAGCACTCTACCAAGGGCAACAGCTTCAGGCTCTGTCTCAAAAAAAAAAGTTGAAGGGACAGGTATCTGCCCTATCTCCCAATCTCTAATGCTATCTTTAAAAACTCTCCTTAACATCCTAGAAATGAAGGCTTTTCTAATAATTCTGATTTTGAGAACTTTGAGTTACTTTAGGCCATAAATGCCATCTTCTGTAAAACTGCACATGTGTCACCTTATTTTACACAGCACTGAGGGAGCTTCTGGACTGAAACTGAACAGTACACAGCCCCCTTCTTTGCTGACATCCAATGACCCAACATCATCCACACCGGGAAACATGCGGATCTACTTATTTCCATTCAAAATAGGCACGAAGGGAACATATGCAGAATTACAGAACATAATTTTTTATAGACATAAATTTGTGATGAAAATTCTCCAGGTCATATGGGAATTGGGATGGAGAGAATGGAGAGAAGACACTGCTGTATACACAGGGGAGAAGGATTTCTCAGAGCCTCTTCACTATTACAAGAAAAGGGCAAAAGAGTATTTGAAACAAGTTCATGAGGCAAGAATATCACAAGCAGAGAAGGTTTTCAACTTCCAAACGCGAGATACTGCAGGAGAAAAGGCAGTCACAGCCCTGCGTTAGGACACATTTAGCTAAGAAGCAACCAGTTCTTTCTCTTTCCCTGCCTGCCCTTGATTTCCTTCTCAGGTGAGATTACCAGGCTATATATTCCACCTGCATCTTGATTATATGGCTTTAAGGGCATCAGCACAACCCCTTCACCCACTCCCACCACATCCACAGGCTGAGAAAACTTGAAAAAAGAAATGAATCCTGTTCTTTATTACAGGACACAATCACAAACAAGGAGTTTTCACATAAAGGCCAAAGTGTGACTTTCATATTTCTTGCCCTCAATTGCCCTCTCTGCTAGCGATTTCATCTATGGCAAGGTAATGGTGGTGGTGCTGTCCTGTCCCCAGGAAGCACAAGCAGGGCTGGCCCTGTGACCTCCCTTGGGAGAAAAGGCTCAACACATTTTAAAACTCTCATGCTTGACACTGGCCTAATCTTAGCATCACATGGAGGTAATAATTAATACCATGTGGAGGAAACAGACTTAATAGAATCTGTGGGAAAGCGGAATCACAGATGACGGCATTTCTTCAAACTGGGCATGGAATCCTACCTGGAAGCCTGGGCTGAGAACCACTCAGGTAAGCATCACCTCCCAGGCTTTAATAACCACACAAGGCATTCAGTATCCTGGGCCCCTCTAAGTGATCCTGCAAGAGCAGCAATTACTCTATCTTGAAGCAAATAGTCACTTTTTTTTTTTTTTTTTACAATGGCTATTTATGTCCTTGCTTAAGAATTTCAGGAATAGGTGTTTAGCAATTAACCAAAGAACCAAGATTGCAGAACTGCCTATAAAGGAAGATGCTGAGCAGTTAACCTCCATTTCTGTCAGGGTCCAGCAGACTGCCAGATGGCAAGAAACCATTGCAACGAGCCGGGGGATCTACACATAGAAAGCTCCTGCACATACTTTCCCAAACTCCTTTCCCCTTCCACCACCTTTTGGTTAGCAGAGGAACATGAGGTGGTCTTTCCAACATTATTCAGCTATCTCCCCATCTTGCTCTCCAATAAACTGCATTTTCTTCCAACAACTCTTATATGTTGAGTTTGGCTTCAGGAATGATGAGTAAACCTGGGGTTTGCCTCAGATTTTCTGGTTAAGTGGGTGTAGGAAGTGGCTTCTTTAGCAATTTCACATATTGCTGGTGTTACTTCTCCTAGACTATTGTAACACTCAGCTAGAGAAAATAAACACAGCAGAGTCTCTTCTGCTCAACACTTTTATTTATTTATCTTTTTGCTTTGTCACCCTCCATAGAGTACCATGGCCATCATAGGAGCCTCCAGCTCCTGGGCTCAAGTGAACTTGTCTCAGCCTCCTGAGTAGTTGGGACTACAGAGGCCAGAGATGGGGTCTGGCTCTTGCTGAGGTTGGTCTCAAGTTCCTGACCTCAAGCATTCCACCGCCATCAGCCTTCCACCTTGTGAGTATTACAGGTGGGAGCCACTTCGCCTACCACCAGTATTTATTTAGTTATTCATTTATTTTTTGCCCAACACTTTTGTAATAACACAAATCCTCTCTTTCCAGGGAAAACCACCCACCACAATCTTGAAACATAGCTTTCTATGCTGACCCTTTAAAATTTCTAGAGCCGACAGAAGGAAGTAGTATCTGAATAAAAACCTGGATTAAAAATTGCAAACTGCAAACTTGAGGCTTGGTCACATGTGGATGCAGCTAGGGCCCTGTGTACATACGTGGGAAGTAGGGAAAAGGACAAATGGGGAAATGGAAATTCTTAAGTGTACTCGGTGCACATATGTGATTCAGGTTGAGTTTCTGGCCTCGTACTCTCAGGATCAGCTGCAAGTCTAATAATATCAATTTTAAAAAGAGATGGCCAAGCCATAGAGAATACTTTGTAAATGTTTTGTGAAATTTTTGAGACAGAGACTCAAGCTGTTGCCCTGGATAGAGTGCTGTGACATCATAGCTCACAGCAACCTGCAACTAGGGCTCAAGTCATCCTCTTGCCTGTTTTTCTATTTTTAGTAGAGATGCAATCTCATTTTTTGTTCAGGCTGGTCTCAAACTCATGAGCTCAAGAAGTCCACCCACCTCTGCCTCCCAGAGTGCTAAGATTACAACAGGCATGAGCCACCACGCCCAGCCTGTATTGTGACATTTTTTTATTTTTTTGAGACAGAGCCTCAAGCTGTCACACTGGGTAGAGTGTTGTGGCATCACAGCTCACAGCAACCTCCAACTCCTGGGCTCAAACGATTCTCCTACCTCAGCCTCCCAAGTAGCTGGGACTACAGGCGCCCGCCACAAC